CGGAGACCGGAGATGAAGCTCAAAAACCGGAGTCTCCGGTCTAAAACCGGAGAGGTGGCAACCCTAGCCGTAAGTCTTCTATAGTGTTCAGAGTATATATCCAGATCGCTGAATACCGTGGTTATAATTTTGAATAAAATTGCATTTTAAGTGACGGATGAGAAGCCAAGGTGGACATGTGACATTTTCTTAGCTGTGAGAAATATCATGATAAATTAAATTGTTTTGTAATGTTCCCAGAATACGCAATGAGTGCAAATTACTTATTTTGATTCTAAATACCTTAATTATTCACTAATACAACGGTATTTTACGGTTATCATTGTGAAATTACAAGATGTGCTACTTGTTGTTTTTGGCTTCCAAAGGTACATCAATAGCAGAAAAGAAATAATAAGGTTCCGAGGGGAGGATCAAATATTATTTTGCAATAAAGTGCTTACTAAATCTGAGTCTGTTAAAAACATAGCTTTTAACTTCCTTCAGAAATATATAATCATTATCTTCATCATCATCACGATTCTACTGTCACACGGCTTGACGAATGACTAATGTACATTAGTAAGGATGACGACACGGAAGGACGCATTGAAGTAACCCTGGAAATCCCTTGTACTTGCACGCCTTTCTTCCTGAAGTCTCATTTTTGTGTGGAAGCTCGAGTTCAAGACACTGTGTTCTTCCTTCTTTCAGAGGAATAGGCTTCATATTAACATGTATAATTATACAATCTGAAAGGTATCAAATTATTAAACGCTTTTCTATAGAAGAGTGCGAAAATGTGACTTTTTAAATCCATGCCGTTGCATATTACGGATACCTCTGACTGTCTGGACAGAGTGGTTTCGAAAGGAACTAAGGAGCAAAATTTGCAGTTAAGATCGATTGAAATTCGCACAACCAAACGACGAAATGAGCAAATGACGCCAGAGAAGCGTATTTTCTATTAGTTTTCTGATATCAATATTTAGTTGTTGTACTATAAAACAATTGATAATAGCAAGGCCTGTTACCTTTTACTTTTTTAACCAAAAATGGCGAAATTTCGCTGAGCAGAAATCTTAAATTTCTTCCTAAACCAATACCTTTAGTATTTATATATAAGAAATTTTAAAAAATCCTATTTGTCCGTATACTTAAATCTCTTTTTTTTTATTTGGACATTCAAAGATTGTTCTTAAATGTTAGAGTTGAACTGTAACTTATAAGTTACATAGCAAAACATGATACCCTGGAATAATTTGAAAATGTGTTCGAAACTGTTCAAAACCAAAAATTTTTTACGTTGGAAAATATACCGATTTAAAAAAAATTCCGTCATGGATAGTAGTTCATTTAGGCCGAATATTCTGCACATCATATTTTTTTCGTCACTTATATTTCAAGACCAAGGGGTAATGTAAGAATTCTAACCCACTGCAATTACAATATAGCTGTATTTTTTGTAGAAGAGATCTCAGATTGTTGGAGTGCAAAAAATTTTAGATTTTCAGCTTACTTTGTTTAAGCTTATTTCAGCAGATTTAGAGCTTCAAAGAGAAATAATTTAGATCATGTGATTAAGAATTATTATTTGATGTAAGTAATAAACTTGCTATGTGGCACGGACGAGTATTGCCGACCAATTTTTTATTTTGGTACAATAGCACATGATCTAAACACAGAATATTTTAATTTTTGTAAATAGTTTAAAATGTCAATATGTTTATCAACATAGTATAAAAATAAAACATTAATGTAAAAACTTGAAAAGTTTTGGTGATGATTGAAGTCGTAAGAGGTCGTTTACCTTCTCCTACAGTATCTTCTTTAACGCACACAACAGCGCCCGGAATTTGAACAGGCCGCAGTTCGCTACCTGTTAATACGCTCATGATTATACTCACAAAACGCACCTTCCCAGTACTCGTTCTAACAAAGAAGGGCGGGTTCGCGTGATTTCAAGAACTCTGCCGTGAGATGCGATCTGTTCCGTTTCTGAGAAGCCCGAACGAGTGCCGTTAGGACACACAGTTAAAACAACGGCGAGCTGACTACCGGATTCGTCCACGGTCTTTTGGCAGACCGCACGAAGCCCACTTCAAAAATAGAGCGTACGTTTTTTAGAATTTACGGTGACGGCATGTTCAGATTGTAAAGTAAATGTTCGAGTAGTATTCAACGAATTTGGATACTTTGATAAAAACAACCATATCGTTCTTCCGAAAAAGCCATCTCCAATGCTTGCGAAATTTGAGTTAAGGTCACCATCTGACAGAATGCTCTTTTAGTTTTTTGCTGTTTTTTTATGTGAAAAAGTCGCGTAACCACAGTTCATTAGTATGATCTAAGCAGGTGTACTTTTTCCCGCTTATGGCTTTTTTCCCAATCAACAACCGGTTACTCTGTCTAAACCGATGAGACGCATATTCGTCCACACACTAGACACCAACATAAGCGCGGGCTCCTCTGATCTGGAGTCAGCAGAACGCGTCGCCCTCCGCGACAGCACATACAGGAGAGACAAGGAGCAAACAACCGTGCCCAAGGCGGATCTCGAACCCGCGACCCTTCGGACATAAGTGCTTAGTCGGTACACGCGCAGGTGTAGTTCTCTATTTAATTCAAACAAGTCACTTCTTCGAAAAGGAGTATTTGCCCAAAACGGAGGCGGGCCAAATTGTTGGAAATATCTGTTTTAACTTAACTACAATTAGAACGTACCTTAAACTCAATTTATTTTAATAGAATGTGTTATTACGTGTACTGATTAATGTAATTTGTTGTTTTGTAAGTATAATTATCTTTATTCATCTTTTAATTAATTAATGATAGTTTACATTTGAATTAAATCATACATAATTTATGTAGTAAACTACTGATTTATAATCCATAGACAGGAAGCTGAAAGGATACAGAAATTATGTGATTATTAATCCATATTAAGCCATAAAAGTTTCAAATATTGAATGAAAATTACTTAACAAAAACTGCAGAGGCTCTAATAACTGAATAATCGAGTATATTTCATAAAAGTGGTGATAGATCATTTTCCCGATTAATAAATGAATTAGAGGAAACATTATCATTGTGAAATAAAATGGAATATACAGACGACAGAGATCCAGAGCAAACACTTCCCCCCATTAATTTTTGTATATTTTTTACAGAAATTAGTGGACAATGAAGAACGCTTCCATAGATTGCAGGGGGCGCGTACTTTGGTCCAGAAACATCAGTAATTGAAAAGGGTATGTATTAACTTTTCTATTTCTTTACTACGCATAATAGTAGTATATGTTACAATGCGATTGCAGCTCTTACTATGAGAGTTGTTCTATATTTTCTGACTTATGAACTCATCTTAGACTTTTGAATTCTCTGACTTATGAACTCATCTTAGACTTTTGAATTCTCTGACTTATGAACTCATCTTAAATAGCTGAACTTACTACGAACACGCATTCTACAATAGCAAGCAGTACATTTCGTTCCATGTTCCTCCTGGAAAGCTTCTTTCATTAATCCACTCGGGATGATGGCATCTTACACAACGGTTCACACACTATGCACCTTTTCTCTCTCCATCTCGCCCCCTCCTCCCTGCCTACACTTGGAGCCGACCGATGGCATGATCTTATCTAAATAGTCCATTATACTGAAAGACTAAGGCAATGTTGCAATGTCAGGAATTGAAGAAGAAGAAAAGAAGTGTCGGAGCATAATGTGGTACAATGGCTAGAGTACACTCCTTCCATCACAAATTCGTGTGGAATTTAGGGTGGACAATGCGAGCTGTAGTCAAATATTCTCGTACTTTTTCTGTCTCCCCTGCCTCTGATTACACCATTTCTTCTTCATCATCATTACTGTCATTCACTTTCATCATTACTGTCATCACTAATGGGCGTCAATGATTAGTTGAAGAGATCCTAAAATTAAACAAATGAATGAATAAAATTAAATAGATAAATATAAAGTACCAAAAAATAATCTGCGAGTAAGCTGTCACACCAATGTATTAATACAGTTGTACTCGTATGTGTGTATATATTTGGCGCAACAGCCAGTGAACGGGCTCATTCCTACCGGCAACATCCCTGCTTTGCAGTCATGGGTTAAGGAGGTACGTGTGGTTAGCACGTAGACATCCCCACACCGTATTCCGGTCTTCTCAACCTTAGAAATGAATTATCTCATCGTCACATAGTGTCATATACTGGGATATTGTAAGGCAAACACACACTATAGTCTTGACTCGACCGGAAATCAAACCCGGGCCCGCGTAGTGGAAAGCGATCTCGCTGACCAAGAGCTAGTCATAAGCCCAATAGAGTAAATGCGCGTTACAATATAATAATAGTAATAATAATAATAATAATAATAATGATAATAATAATAATAATAATAATAAAGACGCTGATGATTTAAGGGAAATGGAATAATATCGTGCACCCTAACAGTAGTTCAGTCAATAATCCAACATTTGTCTTACGCCTCAGAATAAATTGTCACGCCTGCAAATAAGGAAGGAAAGGAAGAAAGAAAGGAAATGAAAGAAAGGAAATGAAAGAAACATAATGAAAGTAACAGAAAGAAACGGAAAGAATGAAAGAAACTGAAAGAAAGAAAGAAACTGAAAGAAAGAAAGAAACTGAAAGAAAGAAAGAAACTGAAAGAAAGAAAGAAAGAAACAGAAAGAAAGAAAGAAACGGAAAGAAAGAAAGAAAGAAACAGAAAGAAAGAAAGAAAGAAATAGAAAGAAAGAAAGAAACGGAAAGAAATACTGGAAAGATAAGACAAAGTTACGAGTAATGAAATATATACGAATAATGAGAATTAATTTGAAATGAAATTCGATGAGTAACGTAATTATAAATGTCATGACTAATGAGAAAACAATACAAATTGCAATGAAGTTTCCCGCGACTTGTTGCGTGGTAAAGGAAAAAGGGGAAATAAGCATTATTCCATTATGATCTTTTTAATATTGAAACAAATACACATTAATATACGTTATTTCAAAAATGATTTTCTATTAGTATTCCTTTCCAGTTTACCTCCTTATACTATAAGATAGGAAGAAAAGGTTTCGGTATATTCTCAACAATTTGATCACGAATATTGGTAGTAAAGAGAGTGTATTTTCAGCTGTAACTTCGCACACACGTAAGGATTAAAGTTTAATAGTTCTGTTCCAAAGATCGTTAAGATTGGAGGAGGCTTAAGGTAAATACATGCAGTTTTGAACCCAAACATCTATTTGTGAAGAAGGAGGGATGTGGCACGCACAACTCTGTTAGATTAGTAGCCTTTGATAAATGCGTCAGGATAAAATTACACCGTTACACCGTTCCGAAAACCATTAAGACCTGTCAATTTTTGGGTCTACTTTATATGAAGACCCTATGACATTTTCATAATTTTCTAGAAATTGACTGAAATTTTGTCCTTTTTTTGTATTATTTTGCTCGAAAAGAAGAGAGTGCATGTATAGTATGATTTTCACTAAATTCTCTGACTTTTATAAAATTAAAAATATCTTTAAATTTAAAATGCGAAGGGTTTTTGTTTAGGAAGACGATTAAGTTTTCCATGCAACCAAATTTGTAATTGCTTTAATTGAAAGGTAGTAAGCTTTAGTTGTTTTATCATGAGCTATTATTAACCGGATTTGTAATAGATACTAAACATTTTAATAATATCATAAAATTAATAAAATGAACTCGTATCTGACGTCATTTCTTCATTATTTCATTCTGCGAATTGTAATCGACCAATGGAAAGAATTCAATATTTACTCTTCAAAAAGCATATATGTGTAAGGTTGTTGTTTGTGAATTTAGTAGTTTTTTCTTTAGTTCGAAGAGTGTTTTTAAATACATATATATTTATTGAATTATGGTGATAGTAGTAATTGAAGAATTGTTGAGGTGTACGTAAACCCAATTCTCCAATCGTTTGACGTGTATGTATTTCTGCAATTGTTATGTACATATAAATATTTTCATCACATTTTCTGAAACGAATAGAATACTTTTTTCACAAAAATAGTTATTCTATCATTCCAGAAAATCTCTCTCATTTCATTATTCTTCGGCTTAATACTCAACGACATGACACAATGTTTTGGAGTTATTCTATACTCCCTCTAGTGGAACTTTTCGAATGAGATATCCAGCACATATCTAATTTTCGGCGCACACTCTTGCTGCTCAGAATTTTAAATATGTCACATCTTCTCAAGCCAGATTCTAGTGGCTCCATTGTTTCCTGAATAACTTCCATTGGAAGTCTTTAAATTATGTCATGCAATTTTTTTTTAGAAATACATCTCCAAGGAATCTCAGTCAATCGTTGAGTAATAACACTAAGAGGAGAAAAGTTTCATTACGCCGCGCAATCCTACTAGTTACTGAGAAAGGGAGATGTTTATGCCAACGAACCTAAAAAGTTTGTATGAGTACAATGATTTTATCCAAGTATTGAGACGTTTCTCAAATATCTATATATTGGTGTGATTACACCTCGTATATTAATTAGTCCATTTTCCCCCCGCGTATAGGCCAACTCGGACAACGCGTGCATCCAGCTTTAGTAGGTGAAAGTACCTTGCTGGGGGGAGGGGGTCGACCAGAATTTTAGCAAAACTCGGGATTCATCCTCCAAGGTTGTTAGCCCTGGGGATACGGACGCTGCAGTGATGATAGTGGGGGGTGAAAGACGGCACACACACATACACAAATACACCTATGCCCGAGGCGGGACTTGAATCCGCGGTTTTCTGGTCCGAAACCGCAACGGCAATACTCCCGTAACCATTTCAGCCATCTGGCCGCCTAATACATCCCATTGCAATTGTTATTGATATATTATTTAAAATATACTATAAATAAATTGCTGGAACTCCTGTAATACAAGTAGGTCTTTCAGGATATTTTAATGCATTTTTCAATGTTGCAGTTTGTATTGATCTGAAATAACTGAATGTGCTTGTAGACAAATAAGAAAAACCACATTTACAAAATATATTTACTTTGCCGTAGGCGTACTGCAAAGATACCACACCCATGTAAACAACAGAATACTGGAAAGACAACAAAACACTCAAGCGACGTAAATCAACATGGCTACCGGCATATTTATAATGATTTTAAGACTATATACTTGGAATTTTCCACGCAATCGTATTAAAAATTAATGTATTCAATTTGTACACATGTGTTTGTGGTGTACTGTTTTAAAATAACGAACTCGAGTTCTATCATCCCCTCGTCCGTCAGCACTTAGAACGCCAAAAACTCACATTCCGTGCTAGTTCCCCAAATAACTACTGTATAATACATTTTGGCCAAATAGTATGTTCAGTACTGACATAGATACTGCAGGTTTGATGTCGTTACCACGATTGTCTATTCTTCAAAATGGGAGAAGAGTCTTGCCTCTTTACCGAATCCAAGACCGAACTTTTTGATTGCTGCAATGAGTGACTGGAAAAACAAAATTTCTGTTTATGTACGTATTTACGCCCAGTGTTTTATTTTTGGTGACTAAGTTCCGAACAAAATCTATGTTGAATGTTTTTTTTTTTTATTTATGTTATCCCAACAATACTGCTAATGTGTGCCTTCACGATGGCCTTGGAATTGCCAGTTTGATGCCCTAGCGAGGTTATATCCTACGATGAAAGTCGGTATAAGACGAAAGTCATCCTGTGTTATGTAACTATTTTATAATTTAACTCTATCGTTATAGTGAATGTTTTGGAAAAGATGTTAGGAGTTATACATTATCTAAGAGTGTGAATAAAGAATGCAGTGTGATAAATTTATTAACGAGTCGTTTATGCTACTTTTGATACATTATAAAATATTTATAAAGAATGTAACTGAATGTTGATGTTTCTTTTTGGATGGTTATATATCAAGCTATCTTGTTACGTCACATCAGATATTTTATTTATTTAATTTACGCTGGAAACTACAAAATGTTTATTTAAACTAAGCAGTTTAGGCAATATATAGCAAACGAAAGAATCATACATGCGAAGAAAGTATAGTACTTAACATAGAAATTATACAAAATGTTAAAAATTGGTACACATTCGTAACAATAAATGAATAAAACTAGTCATTGCCGTAATACACATAATATTTCTTTCGGGAATATGTGAGTAACGAATCGAAAGGAATATGAGGAAGGTTTTTGCACTGGCGTATCTAGCTCAACCATCTGTTCTGACAAGACTAAT